CGTTTTTTATAACATTTTCCATTATGGCCAGATCGCACCAAATAAGAATTTTTGGACATTTTAAATTAAAATACCCAACATTTATTACGATTGCAAATTATTATATATTGSACTWTTAATATATGGCGAAACTACTTAATTCCTTTTTATGATTTTATGGTATATTAAAACAACTGACTATATTTCAATACTTAATAGTGTTAATTAAGCCTGTTAGTTCTAAATTAATAAATGTTTTTAATCATTTGTAATAGAAAATTAATTCTATTATGCATCAAATTACAAAACGTTTCGTAGTATATATTTAAATTTTGCATTTTCTTTGATTATCATTATTATAAATTTTTATTAGCGATCTTGAACGGCGGCAATAAATTCCTGCGTTCACATATATTTTTGGTATAATTTCAATCTGGCCGTTAAAGTCATGTTGTCCATTTTGCATGTACACAATTTCGTTGTGGCCATACTAATACCTTGCACTTCAATGAAATTTTAATATTTTGTTCAAAGTGAAATTTTTTATGCAAAAATAACTAAATAGGTAAATTTGTTTGTTTAAAATTATCAATTGCTATTATAAATGATGTAACAGAGCTATTTTATGGTTTTATTTGTAAAATAACATCAGGTTTGTTAGAGCTCTGAGTAATTTTACATTTTACATATTAGTGGCATCACCACTCCACCTCATCTCTCTGTCTTCCATTCTACTGTCAACTCTGCTGTCGTTGGAAAATATAGGATAAAATTGAAGTTAGCGAGAACGACAACTGTCGGCCTGCCGTCGTGTAGTCGTGCAGCCAAAATAGGTCCGTCGATAAGAACGTGTGTATTTTAATATTTGGCAGATGTCGTTTGCAGTCTGTCGCGAGCATTGTATTCCACACATTTCATTCGTTAAGGTTTAGGATAAATGACATAAAATGTCAACTTAAGAAGTATGGTACGAATAACTATTATGTACAGTACAAATAAAAATTAGGAGTTATTATTATAATTAGTGTAGAGTGGCGATCTCCACATTACCCCCTTCTAGATTCTTTTGAATTGGCTTGCAATACATCTAGAGGGTCTGATGTTTGGTTAGAATTAACAGCTGGTTCTTCATCTGCTATATTGTAACTTGGCTTGAGTCGGTCGATTGAAATAACGATGCTTTTACCTGTTATTTCGATGGTAAAATTTTTGTAATTTTTTTAAATAACTTTGTAGGGTCCATCGTATTGTTCTGTCATAGAAGGAGTTACTCGATCGTTGCGTACATAAACGTGTGTTGATTGAAATATGTAAGTTCTTATTTACGAATGGTGTACTTGGAGAATGCCATGAAGTTTCGACGGGGCGAATTTTTTGAAGATGATGACGTAATTTTTCTACAAAATTTGAGTTCGGCTGCATATTTGGTTTTATAGTAAAAAAAACTCGCCAGGTAATCGTGTTGCGGTTCCGAATAACATTTCGGCTGCGGAARCTTTTAAGTCCTCCTTAACGGCATTTCGTAGTCCCAAAAGAGTAAGTCCTAAATTATCTACCCAAGATTCCGGTAGCTAGTATGACGTTTTTAAATGAACGATGCCACCTTTCTATCAATCCATTCGTTTGTGGATGATACGGTGATGTACGTTCACGCTGAGTACCTAATGTTAGTAATATCTCTTGAAACATTTTGGATTTGAATTGAGTTCCTTGGTCTGTGATTATCTTCTGAGGTGAGCCGTATCGTCCAATCCACTCGTTCAAGAAAGCTCTACATACTGTTTCTGCTTGAATGTCAACAAGAGGTATCGCTTCGGGCCATCTCGAAAAGCTATCGATGAGACAATATTTGAATCCATGACTACGAGGTAATGGTCCAATTATATCGACGTGAACAATTTGAAAGCGTTGGTCTGGCATTTCTAAACGTTGTAATGGAGGCTTGATGTAGCGTAAAACTTTGCTGCGACTGTAACGGATGCAGGCACAAACAGTCCTTTCGCATATTTACCCAAACAAAATGTTGAGAARTCATCTTTAGAGTTGCGTTGGCTCCAACGTGAGCGAGGTCGTGAACATTGTGTAAAATCTGCTTACAAATCGTATGCGGTACGATGGGTCTAACTTGGCTCATTGAGACATCGCAATGTAATGTGGCGTTGCTGTCTTCTAATCTGAAATGTTTAAGTTGTAAGGAGTGTTTTATCTTACCATTAACAAGTGCTTAAATGTTTAAGTCAGATTTTTGTTCGTTGGCCATATCAGTGTAGTTGATTGATGTTATAGTGTTGATACGCGACAATATATCTGCAGTTTGGTTTTTTGAACCTGGAATGTGACGGATGTCTGTTGTAAACTGACTAATATAGTCAAGTTGTCTAATCTGACGAAGGGAACCTTTGTCGTTGCGCTTATGAAAAGAATAAATTAATGGTTTATGATCCGTATAAATGCATGTTTGATTGCCTTCGATTAGGAACTGAAAATGTTTTATGGCGAGATAGATTGCAAGAAGTTGTTTATCGTAAACTGAGTAATGCTTTTCTGTTTCGGTTAGACGACGTGAAAAATATCCAAGGGGTTCTGGTTCGTTATTTACTAATTGGTGAAGTACAGCTTCTACTGCGATATCGGATGCGTCTGTGAATAAAAGGAGTTGAGCACCAACATGAGGGTATGCTAAAGTTGCTGCATCGGCCATATTTTCAAAAGCGTTGATTGCTTCATCTGTCCAATCGATACGAGTTTTATCATYGCGTTTGTTTCCATTGATAAGTTTTTGTAGAACGATACATTTCGACGATTAATTGTTAGACCAGTTGCGCGGAGTCGTTGGAATATCAAGCGTATATGTTTCGCATGTTCCTCCATGTTTGCTGAAGCTATGCATATGTCRTCAACATAAGGAAAGGCGAAGTCAAGTCCTCGTAAGGCTTCATGCATGAGGCGTTGAAAAATTTGTGCTGCATTTCGTAGACCAAACGTCATACGAGTAAACTCATATAAACCGAATGGTGTTATTATGGCTGTTTTCTTTATGTTTTCCGGTCGAACAGGTATTTGATGGAATGCTCTTTGTAGATCGATCTTGCCAAAAACTGTTTTATCTCGTAGGATTGTTAAGCAGTCGTGAACAAACGGAATAGGATAACGGTCTGGAACGGTGATTTTATTGAGCGCACGGTAATCTCCACATGGTCGCCAATTGCCGTCTGCTTTGCGAACCATGCGAAGCGGACTAGCCCAATTGCTCTTCGAAGGGCGACACACGCCTATTTGCATCAGATATTCGAATTCAGTCCGTGCGGTTTCAAGTTTTTTGTGGTCGAGCTTTCGAGCTGTAATGGGTTGACCTTGAGTTTCAATTACGTGGCATACCTCAGTCTTTACTGGTTTTCGATCAARATTCATTTCTGTGAGGTCCTTAAATTCTTTGAGTACTTTTGCAAATGGACACTGTACGTCGAAAGCTTTTATCTGCATATTGAACTCAAGTTGTGAATAGCGCATGGCGCTTCGAGATTTGTCTTGTTGTCGATTAATTTGTTGCGTTTTAGATCGATGATCAAGTCGTAGTGACGAATAAAATCACTGCCAATAATTGATGTATTAACATCTGCAACCATGAAGCTCCACATGAATTTACGACGAAGGCCAAGATCCACGTGTTGGCATACTAAACAGTAAGTCTTTATTGGAGTACCATTGGCTGCGTATAACGTGACGTTTGTTGGGCGAAGATAATTAAAATTGTTTTTGCTTGGAAGAACACTATAGTCGGCACTAGTGCCTATGAGATATTTTACGTTTGATGACTGGTCCTTGATGAATAGTTGATTTACTGCTGCGTTGGGGTGATTGGTGTCGCTGGAGCATCGCTGACTGAAACTTCTAGTCATTCATGCTGGGTGTTGGTACCTTGTCGACGTAGACATGGACTACGGCATCGGTTGGCGGAGTCTCCGAACGTTTGATGGTACCAACATTCTTTCGTATTGCATGAGGAAGATCTTCGCTCACTCGATTGACTATGTCGTCGAAGAAATCTGCGACTAGTGTGTGAGCGACTGCGTTCTCGTGTGCGCATATTATCGAATTTGCATTGTAATTCGTGAGTTATATTTGATAGTTGAGGAATCGTGTCTTGTTGAGTCTGAGCTGTTGTGCTGGCGGCGTGATCCGATGATGAACAAATTTGACTCTGGGTTAACGTTTCCATAACAGCGTCAGCAACTGCAATTTGAACATCTATCGTACCTTCGCGTGGGATTACAGATGCTCTTATTAATTCCGGTAAGCGTTGGATACACATAGCTCGAAGAGTTTCTTCCGAAAAGGAATTTCCTGCCACTCGTCTCATGGCATTAAATAGTTGACTCGAGCGTTGATCACATAGTACCATCTCCTCCAATAATCGCTGAATTTTACGTTGATAACTTTCACCAAAATATTTGAGAAGTTCAGTCTTKAGAAACTCATACATGCCAATACCTGAGTTGGTAATACGTTGTGTATTTTCAGCGTTTTTACAGATTTGGGTAATGGTTGGTAGCGTAAGAGGATCTAACGTAGCCATCACATGGTAATAACGTTGAGCATCGCTGTTCATGTTACATGCCTTAAACCAATAGTCCACCGATGTGAACCATGCATCCATATCGTTTGGTGTTATGCGAGGCATCGGAATACGTTCATATGCTTCAGGTGCAGTATACCGTTTAAGAGGTGCAAACACACTGATGATCTGGAAACGGGATTGCATCATTTGTTCGCTGTTGTGATAACGGTACTATATTCGTCTGATTCCTAAACGGTATTTCGCTACCCTCTGTCCGCGCTGGCTTCGTGTGATGCTAAAAATCACAATAATATAAATAAATAATCTAAATGTATGACCGTATGACTTTGCTTTTCAGGTTGAATGTCATTGGCGCTCCAACTGCTTCCGTAGTGTCTAAATGATTCGGAGCCAACTGGAATTCCATCGCTGCCAGATTTGGTTTCACTTTCCACAGGTTGAAGATGTTCGTCCATTTTGAGTAAGCGTGGGGTTCAGAAAAAAATTATTAAAAATTTTACTTTTCGGACACCAATTGGGTGGTGATGCGGTACTAAGCGAGTCGTTGTTAACACTTCGATGGTCGTTGACGAACTATATTTCAATTTTGTGCTTTTGATCTTACATTCTTACATTTGTTAAGCTTTATGTGTGCATACAATGATCCGACTGACCGCAAACGACATCTGTCAAATATTAAAATACACACGTTCTTATGGACGGACCTATTTTGACAGCTGCACGACTGCACGACGGCAGGCCGACAGTTATCGTTCTCACTAACTTCAATTTTATCCTATATTTTCCAACGACAGTAGGAGGACAGTAGAGTTGACAGTAGAATGGAAGATAGAGAGATGAGGTAGAGTTGCCATCACCACAATATGTAAAATGTAAAATTATTCACATCTCTAGCAAACTTGACGTTATTTTACAAATAAAAGCATAAAATAAATTTAAAACAAATAAATTTACCTATTTACTTATATTTTGCTTAAAAATTTCACTTTGAACAAAATATTAAAATTTCACTGAAGTGCAAGGTATTAGTATGGCCACAACGAAATTGTGTACATGCAAAATGGACAACTACGTTGTTTTGTGTACATGCCGGCCATTGTTATGTTGCTGCCTTCTCACAAACGTTCATGTAGTAGGATTCACAACGCCGTTTTCAGTTCACTGTCGTGCTGCTGCAGTCTGTCGCGAGCATTGTGTTCCGCGCATTAGGGTAAATGACATAAAATGGCAGCTTTAGAAGTATGGTACGAATAATTATTATGTACAGTACAAATAAAAATTTGGAGTAATTATTATAATTAGTATAGAGGGGCGATCTCCATATATATATATATATACGTAATTTAATTCCCGCGACGAGGGAATTTAAAAAAAAAAATATGTTAAATAAAAACACGTGTGGTTCCTGTAGATTGCCAGATGATGATTCTGATTTACTAATATATATACATTTTTGACTTATTTACTTAATGTTAAAGCTAAAGCTGAAGTGTACGCATCAGCTTGATTGAATCCAGAACAAAGAGTTAATTACAATATTAGCTGAGACAGCAAATTCCAGCAGAACGTTAAGCGTTCTGTTTTCTTTACGATTGTTATTGTCATGCCTCCTTGTGAGGGCGAGCGATATTATTTTGATTATAATGGATTATTGGATTGGGAACGGAAAAAGTATATTGAATTCTTAAATAATTAAAAACATTAATTAAGATTTTAAGGTGTAATTGCAAAATGCAAAGATTCAATTTTATTTATTATATTATCTAATTTTAACAGTTTATTAGTTGTTTCAAAATATTCTAAAATTTTAAAA